AAAAATGCTGTTTTTATGCAGACAAAACTGGGATTGTGCAAGAAACTCTTGCTTTAGCCTGCAAAACTAAAAAAAGGATGATGAAAATAGAATTTACAGGCAAGTGGCATAATAATTGGTCTCCTCGGGTCACAACCTTAATTACTGGCCTTTCTGGACCCCTATTGGTATTAGTGCTGGGACTCTAAATCAGGCCATGCATTATTAATGTGCTAATAAAGTTCATCTCAAGCCATATAGGAGCTGTTAAGCTTATGGCACTAAGAACCCAATATACAAACCTAAGTCCAGGCAAAGATGCTGATGAACCAATGATTTGATTGCCAAGGAAAAACAGCTGGGAATGAGACAGACTAGCATTAGCCACTATAACGCCAATTTGTTGATTGGTGAATGACCAGACTCTTTTCCCCTTCCATCTCAGAAAGTCCCACTAGTGATTGATTTTAGAATCTACTCATGTTCTCGAGATCAGAACATTGTATTTAATAATATTGTTCCTTTTGATGTTGTAACCTAGATATTACTATTCTTATTTTATTAACCAGGATGTTATAATCAATGCTGTATCTTATAAGGCTCACTAACTCTAAAAAATAATATTAATTTTGCTTTATGCTTCTGTCCAAGCTTGTTTAAGTCCTAGACCAATGATAAATGACTTTTTGCCTTTAAAGATGGACTGAAATGTCCACTCAAGACTGCAATCAAAGAGTTGCTTTTAGATTCTCGCAGTCAGGTTATAACCAAATAAAAGACTCCTCTAGATTTCAACACATTATAGTGGTTGTCATTTATTTGAACCCGCAATACCTATATTACAGAGTAGAACTTGTGGGGAAACCATGGGAAAGAGAGTGTATGTGGGTAAACTCTCAACATTCATACATTGTTAAGGAGTCTGGGAGGCCAGTGTCCCGTGGAGAAAGCCTTCACATTCATGGGTTGCAGAGTGGGTTGGAGATGTGCCCCACTCACATTCTTTTTTTTAATTCCCCACTCACATTCTTAATTGGGCATCCCCTTACAGAAGGGTCACAAGGAAGAGATGAGCCAGTCAGGGTGCAGTGTAGCACCTATGAAACACACAACTTTCCTCTAGTTCTTTAATGCTTCCCCTCCCCCCCAACACACACACTATCATGACCCCAATTCTACCTTACAAATCCAGCTAGACCGGAACATGTACATGGGTACAGATAAGAGCTGGAAACGCAGGGAATCCAGGACAGATAAACCCCGCAGGACCAATAATGGGAGTAGCAATACCAGGAAGTTAAGGGGAAGGTGGGAGGAGAGGGGGAACTGATCACAATGATTTATGTATAACCCTCTCCCAGGGGGATGGACAACAGAAAAGTGGGTAAAGGGAGACATTGGTCAGTGTGAGACATGGAAAAATAATTATTTATAAATCAGCAAAGGTTCATGAGGGAGGGTGGAAAAAATGAGGAGCTGATAGCAAGGGCTCAAGTGGAAGGAAAATGTTTGAAAATGATGATGGCTACATATGTACAAATGTGCTTGACACAATGGATGGATGTATGGATTGTGATAAGAGCTGTATGAGCCCCACTAAAATGATTTTTAAAAAAAGAAATAGGTATAATTTGAGTAAACAAATGATTGATAAACCACTTTTCCTAATCTGCAGGTGGTAAGAAATGAGGAGCTTGATTTCAGTCAACATGATCAAGTGCTGTTTGGTTGGTCCACAACAATGCAGAGAAAGAAAACACAATACCACAATACAAGGTATAGTAGACTCAACAGTGGTGTCCCTAAATATAGCCATATCCTAATCCATGGGAATATATTATCTTCCATGGAAAAGATATTTCATTTTTATATGAAAGTTTTTGAGATGGGGTGATGATCCTGGATTATATGAATGGTCTAATATAACTAATTACAAGGGGTGCTTAGAAAAGGGGTCAGGAGGGCCATAGAAAATCTATGTAACACTTAAAAAGAGATTAGAAAATGCTAAACATGGAAATTGGGATATGGGTGGGTCTATGAGCCATCTAAAAAAAAAACCTCACTGTCAGAGTGGATTCTGATTCATGTTGACCCTATAGAACACGATAGAACTACTACTGTGGGTTTCCAAGACTGTAACTCTTTTTTTTTTTTTGACTGTAACTCTTTACTGGAATAGAAAGCCTTATCTTTCTCCTGATGAGCTGGAAAAGGCAAGCAAACAGCTTCTCCACTAGAACCTTTATTAAAAAACTCAACCCTGGGGGATGAGGGGGAAGAAATGGGGAGCAGATATCAGGGGCTCAAGTGGGAAGAGAATGCTTTGAAAATGATGATGGTGGCACATGTGCAAATGTGCCTGACACACTGGAGGAATGTATGGATTGTGATAAAAGATGTAAAAGCCCCCAAGGAAATTATTTTTAAAAAACAAAACTCAACCCGGTAGCTCATTTTAGACTTCTAACTTCCCAAAGTGTAAGAGGATAATTTTATGTTGTACCAAGCCAGGAAGTTCATTTTGATTTGTCATAGCAACAGCAGGAAATGAATACAAGAGGGATGTAAGTAATAAGTACAGAAAGGAATATTCTGATAAGCTGTAAAGGAAGAAATCTGGCAGATTTCCTTGGGACCAGAAATCACGACAAGGAGAGGAGAGGGATAGGAAACAGGAAGATAGAAAAAAAAAAACAGAGAAATAGGCAGATTTCCTCCAAGTAAAGCGTATAAGGTTGGCAAATTGAGGGACAGTCTAAAAAACAACAAACCAAAACAAACTCGGTGGTGTTCCAGATTCGAGGGAACTAAGCGGGTGTACGGACTCAGTGCTGCTGTCCAGGAGTGGATGCCGGCTCAGGAAAAGGACTTTGATGGCGCAATCAGCGATAATTGGAATGGTCGGTTAGGCAATGGTATGTCATAGGTGCTTATTTCCTGGTTTCAATCATTGTATTAGCGCTTCTGTAAGA